CCATCTGTTTGCCTGCAAATTTCATGATGTCATTGTATTTAACAGGTGAGTAATACTCCATTGTATAAATATACCACATTTTCTTTATCCATTCTTAAGTTGAGGGGCATCTAGGTTGTTTCCAGGTTCTGGCTATTACAAATAATGCTGTTATGAACATAGTTGAGTAAGTGTACTTGTGGTATGATTGAATGTCCTTTGGGTATATGCCCAAGTGTGGTATAGCTGGGTCTTAAGGTAGATTGATTCCCAATTTTCTGAGAAACCTCCATATTGATTTATGTTGAGGTCTTTGATCCACTTGGACTTGAGTTTTGTGCAAGGTGATAGATAGGGATCTATTTGCATTCTTCTACATGCCAACATCCAGTTATGCCAGTACCATTTGTTGAAGATGCTGTCTTTTTTCCATTGTATAATTTTGGCTTGTCAAAAATCAGGTGTTAATGGGTATGTGGATTTACATCAGGGTCTTCGATTCTATCCCATTGATCTGCATGTCTATTTTTATGCCAATACCATGCTGTTTTTATTACTATAGCTCTGTAGTAGAGCTTGAAATCAGGGATGGTGATACCTCTGGAAATTCTTTTATTGTACAGGATTGTTTTAGCTTTTCTGAAAAAAAAATTTCCATATGTAGTTGAGTATTATTCTTTCTAGGTCTGTAAGGAATTGTGTTGAAACTTTGACGGGGATTGCATTGAATCTATAGATTGCTTTTGGCTTACTATGTTAATCCTACTGATTCATGAGCATGGGAGATCTTTCTATCTCCTGATATCTTCTCTAATTTCTTTTTTCAAAGACTTGAAGTTCTTGTCCATATAGGTCTTTCACTTGTTTAGTTTGAGTTACCCCAAGATATTTTATATTATTTGTGGCTATTGTTAAGGATGTTGTTTCCCTGATTTCTTTCTCAGCTACTTTCCTGAATTTTAAGAAAAATCACATTTCTTGTTTCTCCCACTAAAATGATTCCTGCTAAATAATGATGCCAGATATCCAAGTACATCCTACTTCCAGAGAGTGCACACCCAGGAGCAAGCTGAGGAGACACAATAGAGTCTACCCAGACCTACAGTCAGAGCTACAGCTAATGGACTAGGTATTCTCAATTTACAATAGCTACACAATTACTGTACATGTACAGTGGGCTCCCGAGTCAGCAGGTTCGAGCCTGAGATTGTGAAATGTGCTCTAGCTTGATCAGATAGCCCAGGCATAGGAGTGTAAGACCTGAAATTCTTGATTGCACTGATATAGAGTCTTCCTGCTAGAAGAACATCCAGGCTGAATGTGTATTGTTTACTGTGTGCAGCTTGCTTCTCCATCACACTGGCAATTCCTGTTAGTTCTACATTCAAGTCCAACCAGTTCTCATTTCACCTGCTGTCACTGCCATGCTCCAAGCCATCCTTAGATCCTGGCTTCACTATTCTTGTTCCCTCCATGCTGCTCTGCTACGTCTCTGGTTCTTCTTGCCATTAGTCCGTGGCAGCAAGAGATGGGGATGTGACACAGGGTTGATCACATGGCCCCTCTGCCTAACCTCCAGTGGACTTCTCATCTTGCTCTGACTGCAATTGGTACAGTGCCTCACTTGCTCCTGTCACAATACCCCTTCCTCCTCTCTGTTTATCTTTCCTTCCACTCTGTCTACTCTATTGTAGAGTCTTGTCTAGAGTCTTTGTGCCACGGTCTCCTTTGTCTTATGTACTCTTCTTGTGGCATCAACACAATTCCTTCATCTCTCTCATGCTTTGCTCACACATTAGTTTCTGAGTCATACCCATTTCTCTCCAGAGGTTTGTTTTCCCTCTCTATAATTTACATATGTAACTTACTTGTCTACTCTTCCCATTCGTGAAAAGCACAAATATCTTGAAGGCAGCAATTTTTGTCTTGTTCCCTGATATATCACCAAGACTTAGACTAGTCTGGCACACAGCAGGGACTCCAAAGATATGGGATGAATGAACAAATGACAATTATGCCTCCAAGTCAATTTCTCCAGCCAGAAGACTGAAGCAAGCTTCATGATGTCCTTGTGAATTCATCTATGATGTATCAGTTTGTTGGACAGGTTTTAAAGAAAATGGTAGGTCTCTGCTTCCAGGCCAGTTGGGATATTTGCTCTTAGAATGCAAGCCACCACATTGGTAGGAAATCAAAGAAGTTTTCTCTGCAGACTGTGGGAAACAGAGCCAAGGTTTAGGTCATATAATCAAATACTTTGGACAAACAGCAAAACACTGAGGTCTTTAAAGATAACGCACATCACTGAAGATGTTGAAAAGATTGTTCAGTTCTCAGCTTCTGTTGGCAGCTTTGTTCTAAACTGAGTGGGTCAGGCAGGCAGAATCTTGCTGTTTTAGAGTTCTGGAAGTCAAAGTATTGGCTTGCCTATCCTCTTTCTGGCAGCTCTAGGACAGGATTTCTGCTAGTCGCTTGTGTTTGTTGGCCATCACTGGCTGGTAGGAGCATCACTTCAGCCACATGGTTATCTCTTCTTGATTGTAGACAAATGGTATCTGGAACTCAGTTACACCCTTAAAAGTGGAAGGGAAATGCTTCCAGTGGAACCAAGTTCAAAGACTGCTGGAGAAGGAGACTGATTTGGATTAACTCTAGAGCCCATCTCTGTAGTCCTTGTTTTTACTGATATGGTGGAGTATGAGAAATAATGGTACCTTCTACAGGAGCTACATAGTTAGGTGAGTGAAACTGAATCATTCAAGAAACAAAACAGTATGTGTTGACTAAAACAAAGTAATAGATGCCTTGAACAAAATTATACATTTAAGTGATAAGAAAGTCCAAAAATGTAGATGTTAGACATTAGCCATTAAAATAATTTTCTTTTTGGGACACTTCAGACTACATCCTAGACTCAATGTCTCATAACCAAAGTAAACTAGCTTTCTCAAGTGTTCATGCCTGCCATCAATGATTCATCTTGTATTGGCCATGTTCCAAATGAAACAGTCATTAACTAAAGTATGAGCTAATATTTCCTGAAAGCTTATTATGAAGAGCAAAATAGGATAAGCACTTAAACATATCTTAGACCCAGTCAAACCTCAAAACTGTCTTCAGACGCATGCTATCTCCATATAAAAGGAAAACCCTAATCACAGCAAAGTTAAACAACATGCCCCAAACTATACAGGGGGAAAGTGTCTCAGTTGGGGATTGAGCTAACCACTAAGCTGTGCATGTACCGTCTTCATAAAGCTACCTCAACTGTGACCTGAGGGTTAAAACCTGCAGCATGGTTAATTTCTATAGGATACGATCATTAACTTTTCAACAGGAAACTCCTAAAAAAAAAATCACTGGTTGAAATATAAATATGGAGATTAATAGGTAAGAACCAATGGGAATGTCCATAATGAGGTATGCTACTGTGATTACATTCCAGGACATATTCTATCTTCTCAACACTGGGAGAGAGGCACTTGAACTAGAATTTTAGAAGAAATAGAAGTTTACAATTCAAAGTGCTTGTTTAGCTTGGAGCATATGTTACAAACATTTGTGGCATGTTGTGTACACGAAATACATTTCTACTGTATTATGCATGTGGGTGTTGTTGGCATCTGTAACTAGAAGGAATAGCAATTTTTTTTGCATTTAAATTTACAGCATGATGCTTGGAGATGAGTGCTTACTAGAATGAGAGGAATTAAACGCAATTGAAACTCTGCAGTGTACTTGGCTTGGCTGTCAGATCCCATTTTTTCCCTCCACTGGTTAAATAGCAAATATTTTAAAGATGTTTCAATGAGGAGTAAGCAGAAAGAATACTCTCGTAAATGGGTGCCAGAACTATAACTTGACATCAACTTTTAAGTGATGCCATCTGGATGCATGAGGGGGCACATGCCACATGGTTGTTTTCAGCCTGACCCCCAAATCCATTACTAAGGATGTATGACAGGATTTGTGTTCCAGAATGGCCCCCTTATTTAGCTGATAGCAGTGGTGTACAGATAGCGAAAGCACATGCTAGCGGAAAAGCCAAGTATTGTTTTAATGATCCAGGGGAGACAATCTAATAAAAATGAAAAAAGAGGATAAAATTTACAGTTTGACAGGTGCCATATCATAGTCACCTTTATCCAATATCTGAGATTATGGGTGACTTGTTTTCTTCTGGAATTTTCCAGATTATCTTTTTTTCCTTCATTGTTCTGTCAAATGATGGCATAATATATATTCAAAATGTTTAAAGTATCCATGTTTTTATATTTATTTTTATTTATTATGTATGCAGTGTTCTGCCTGCATGTCAGAAGAGGGCACCAAATCTCACTACAGATGGTTGTGAACCACCATGTGGTTGCTGGGAATTGAACTCAGGGCCTTTGGAGGAGCAGTCAGTGCTCTTAACCTCTAAGCCCTCTCTCCAGCTCAAAGTGTCCAGATTTTAACGCACAACAGTTAATACATGTATACAACCTGGAGACAGACTGTCCTAGTCTAGAAATGATCTTCATTCTCTTCCCTAGTCAACAATCCCCAACCTCCAACAACCACTTTCTGACCAGTGACTAGTTTTGTCTATTTTTAGTCAGTGTTATTGTATGCTATACTTTTAATGGTGTCTGGCTTAATTTATACAACACAGTATCTGTGAAATTCAGCTCTTTTGGAATGGATGTCTCAGTCATTTATTTTTCATTTGATTTTTCTGTAGTATTTCATTGCATAAATGTCATTATATATTTATCCATTTTTGTGTTCATAGAAATCATCTTCATGTTCTTTGGTCAACAAATGCCCCCTTTTCAGACAACAGGACTAGGAAAAATCTGCTAGGGTATAAAATAGGCATAAATATTTGATGCAACAATTTCTATTTTCCCTCCTTCGTCCACTCCCCCAGTTAGGAGAATAATCACTACTCCAATAATTCCAAATTAATTCATAATATGTGTGTTGATTTTGCCTTAATTTATTTAAAATCAAAATCTACTGGAAAAAAGACATGAGTCTTCTCTTTTAAAAACCTTTATTAGGCATTGCTAGATGACGCTGCGGTGATATTCTGCACACATGGTGTGGTAAACAGCACACTCCACAGTAATCTACACTGTACACACAGTGACAATTGGAACCACTTGACGTCCATTAGTTTCATCCAGATAATGTCTTTATATTCTTCCATATGACCTCATATCATAATTAATATTACCCTCCCAATTCAAAACAATCAACCCAAAATATTGATCATTAAAAAAAAAACACACAACAAAAGGATATAGGGACATTACAGAGAGCCTGCAACTAGACTCCACAAGGTATCTATTCATCTTCTCAAGGAATTGTCTCTACACTTTGTGTGACCTGATATTTGCGTTGCTTTTATCAGTCACAAGTGAATTGGAAATATATATATGTGATATAATGTGCATATATATGTATATATAAACAAAACCAGTATTTTGTATAGTACAAAATAAAAGGCACAGACCTTGAAGAGCAAATAATATACAGCATGGCTTGAGTTGCTACAGCCCACTGTGAATGAATAATGTGTAAATTGTGACAACTACAGGGTTGTTTTTTGTTTTTTGTTTTTTTACATCTATAAGAAACTTAATGCTAAAATATTGTCAAAGACAAGTTGTAGAGAAATGGTCACATTTCTAAAATATCACAGTTATGTTTATTTTTAATGCTGTTTGTAAAGTTTTGTGGTTTTACCCTAATTGGAGTTGCCAACAAGTTTATTACACTGTTTCCAATTTATTCGACCTTCTTTTGTGTGTGTGTGTGTGGTTTAAAAATAAAAATTAATTCTATTAGCCTCAATTCTGATATTTAATATTCATTTTCTTGCTTTAGTTTAAAAACAAGCAACATACTTGAGAAAAATACAGCTAATTTATTACTCTAGAGACAATATAGATTCAGTAGCAAATGCAGGCTAGGTACAGCTATAAAGACAACTGATTAGCATGCTTTCAAAAGAGGGATCAAAGAACACTAACAAAATTTATGGCTCTTTTGATAAGAAATAAAGTCACGTGAAAGAAATAAGGCACTAGTAACATACACAAATGTTACATCATCACACAAGCACCATATGGAAGGGTGGGACTGTACAATAGTTCGTGCTCCTGGAGAGTGGAAACAAGGCTCATTTCCCTGGCTCTCTTCACTAGTTCTTCCTTTCTTTTCAACCATTAGTGTACCAACACTACAGTGGTGAGGAGATACTGCACAATTCATGGACCCAACAGTATAAAGGACTCATCTGAGAGTTGATTGCTTCAACAATATAAGAAATCAGGTCTTTTGGATACCCTTGTTTTTCAACCTTTTTATTCTGGTAGAATTTGCTTTTCCTTTCCAATTGCTTTTCAGGGATGAATTAAGAGTATCAATGACATCTACGTGGTTATTTCTACTTGCCTATTTCCTAAAATATATTCAAAATGGCTTCTTCCATGTTCTTTATGAAGATCAAAGTTAGCAGTGCAACTACTGAAATGCAGAAACAGTTACAAGTTTAAAAAAATCAGACATTTTCAATGTGAAAAACATTATGGCACATTATTTGAAAAGGGGCTACAGAGTTTACAGAAAATTTTAAACTGTGCGATAAAAGGAGAGTGACAAGAGCTGGGACAAATCAGTAATGCAAACTACTCACCTTAAGATGATGAAATGAATCATCACTTGCTATTGAGAACAGAATTAAAATGGGATATAGTCTCAAATTGAAATCAGAGATGGTAACTATTCATTAGAACATCAATTTCTGAATATGCAATAGCAAAAGATTCAAACCCCAACTATTTCTTTTTAGCATTTTAACAGTTAAAAAAAAAAGATGTGGATAATGTAACTGTCCTTCAGATTTCCAAGACATGAAAATGTCTTACCAATTTGGCTTAAAAGAGGAACCAAATAACTACTACTCACTCGTGGCTTTTTAATAAATGATGGGTTAATGTAATAACATTTTTATGCTGCTCTTTTGTTTTGTTTTGGAGTTTTACTTTATTTTTTGAGGCATGGTCTCCCTATGAAGCTCGGGCTGTCCTGGAACACACTCTGGAGACCAGGCTGGCCTGGGACTCACAAAGACATGCCTGCTTCTGCCTCCCAAGTGCTAAGATTAAAGGCATGTGCCACTATGCCCAGACATGCTGCTGTTTTGACTAAATTTTTGCAAGACTGAAAAATGTACTACTTAGGAGTGTATTAATAGCTTTCTTCAAAAGCAAGTATACTGACAGTTAACTTCCCCTCAAGGGGTTATAGGGGCCTTTATTGGAAGGTGGCAGAGGTGTGCATGCAGAGGGCAATAGTCACATAAAACAAGGGTTTAAATTAAAGTCCCTAACTTTACTGTGTCAGGGAAGGCCAGGGCTGGTCCAGGATGACAGACAAGTCACCACAGACACATGCAGCAGGCTGCCTGGTGGATGCCAGACACACTCAGCATGCCTTCTGCCTTTCACCATGGAACCAATTTTCAAAGGGCAGATAGAGAAGGAAACAAAACAGAACACAATAAAATAAAACTACAGTAGACCTGGACCTTTCAAAGACATCAGTCGACTGACGGAGGAGGAATTGGAAGCAAATCCAGCCGACCCCAGACCTAAGGGCTCTGGCTGGACCAACTGCCAAGTGCACTACCTGGATACCTTTTAATTTTCATAAAAATCTGTAACAGATTGGTTTTGCCTTGGCAAACGGTGTCTATATATGCACATCTACATAAACCTATTACTGTTCTGAATTTCATATGAAAAGAAAGCTTTCAAAACACCATCTACAGACATTTGTGACAAATATGATCAATAATAAGTATTGGCTATTGAGGAGCTACCATTTGCAACTTAAAAAAATAGAGAAACAATTTGTAGTCAGCTGATAAAAGCAACAATATTATATCTAGAATTCTTTGTAAAGAAACATAAAGCACACCGATTTTCTATAGGCTACAAATTAGACATGTGCATCAGATATTTAGATACTATTTATTTGAAATAATACATTTAGATATAGAGGAAGTGATGCTAATGAAAAACTGGTATTTTTAAGAATTTAACTAGAATTTTAAAACAATTTCCCTACCTGGCCACAAGGTGAACCAATGACTACAGCACAGCCTGCCAGCTACAAGGAGAACCTGAAAGAACATTATTTCAGCAATTCCTGGGGTAACTTAATACACTTAATACTCTCTGAATTTTTTTGTTATATTGTAAACCTATATTAAATAAATTTTGAGTGTGGCTTATATGTACATCTAATTAATTAAACTATTTGACTGTTTTCGAAGGGTAAGCAATTTCTCTAGAATAGGCCCAATCCAGGTTATAGACAAAGTGACTACTTTAGATTATCAAAAATGTCTATTAAGCACAGGACATGAATTGACAGCTGCATCTTACATACAATTGCTCCTATATTTCAATCCACCTCAAGTTGAAGCTAGAGGATGTTTTTACATAGAGACCAGTGATCATAACTATAATTTATTTTGGATGAAGGATGAAAGACAGGTTGCATGAATGTTCACATGCTTTTTGTCTGCTGATAACCATGAATTTGTAAAGTTTGATTCTAGAGTTTTGGTAGCCCTCTGGTCCAATTGGCATCTAATTTGTTTGACTTATTTGGCAGAGAGCTAGCAGAGTTCCGTACCTCCTATAAAGACTCAGGAAAAATGTCCCAGGCACTCTGGATCCATTTCAGCTAATAAACAATAAGGATAAATGACATTTGCTGCTTGAGTTAGGTCATAAAGACCTTTCGCCACAGAATTTCATTGCATTCCAGTGAAAGGAACCAATGGTTAAGAAAAATTATTCTTCATTTGGCCAAGATGAGACGAGGAGGGGACTGCTGGAGCAAAAAGAAAGATAATCTAGAAAACTAAGAAAAAAATAGGTTCGTGGTATGGAGATGTGTGTGTATTGCTGAACAGAGTGATAACATATGACTGAGAACTGAAGAAAAATATTTTCTTTGTTAATGACTCTACATGATCTAATCAACTAATGAAATGTCTTATAGAGACATAAAGAAATGACCCTCCAAAGGGCATTGGTAATATTTCATGTATTTTTCAAAAAGATAATTTTTTGGCATTTTAAGTCATTATTTCCAAAAACAGTCACTTCTTTAGTTAAAAGAAAAAAAATTATTTTCTAATATGCATGATTGCAGACTTGCACAGCTGGCAGTATGTATAAGGACGTATAAAGGATGTGACATGTCAAGGCTTCCGTTCATCTGTAAATAGACAATTACCATCAACAAAAGCTGCAGAACCACAGAGTGATGCACAGAAGTCCCATAAAGCACTTAGCTTTGAAATCAGTCTTAACTGCACACTCAAAGGAAGTTACAGTGGAGTCACATCCATTGATTTGCACCCAAAAAATTAACCTTTCACAGTCTTAAATACTCTTTCAAGTTTGGAATTTTTGTTTTATTTAGATAATACTGTTTCTACACGAGTATCTCAGTTTAATTGATAGGATCACTGCAGAGACACATTTTAGTATGTGATCCTGGAAGTTAGTGTCCACAATTGCAGAAAAGTACATAATTAAGTTATAATTTGAAAAACAAAATGTGCTCCAGCTATTTTTATTTATTGTGTTTCCAGTCAAGAAAATTTTCTTTTATAGGATTCACAAACTGTGGAAATACAGTTAAAACTTTTAGTAAGAATATTTTAAATAAAGATTCAAGTGAAGTTATTACGTAGCATCGTTATTTGCTATGAGTTCTGATCATAGCAAAATTGTTGCAAAAAAATTCCAGGATTACTAAAATATTAGGGATAGTTCTATATATTTAGGAATGCTTTCCATAAAATACTAAGCTTCCAATTTCTCACATATTTGAAGAATTTGAACATATTTTCTGATGTGATTCTATTCTCGCCACTGAAAAACACATGCCACCTTTTATCTCTTAATTATTTAAATGGCACACACACTGGAAAGTGCATCAATTTTAAGGCTAACAATTATAGCAGGCCTTAACATAAAACAAGAGTTGAGACAGACTTCAACCACTGTCATGGAAGGGCTCACATTAAGGCTCGTGTGCAGCTTGCTTATAAAACTAACTCACATCTAAAGTGGCTCATGGCACGGATTTTCTTAGTTTTGTACTTCTATGCCACCTAATGATGTTTAGGCCACTGACTTTTTATAATCCTAACAACAGGCATCCTAAAAATCTGATGTTAAAGAAGTCTCATGTGTTCAGTAGAGGCGATGTGTTGGCAAATGCACTGGAATCTGAGAGAAACACTGAGGCTACATGGATCAGGGTGAGCTTTGCTCTCCCGCCTGTTCCTGCTCTTCTCTGAGGGTGAAGAGAAGAGGTGTGGACAAAAAACGTAGTTGGAACTACCAGAGGGACAGACAGCGACTGCAGCAGGGTAGAGTATTTTGTGGAAACACTGGGCCATGCATCTGGGCAGTGAAATTAAAAGACAGACTCAAGTAGGGGTCTAGGGACTCAAGAGATGAAGCCACAGAGTTGGGCATTTCCCAAGAGGTCCCGCTGGATCTTGATCCCCCAGCAGAAAATGATGGCACACTCTAACAAGTCTGCTGTTGAACTCTTTGACTGTTTTTCTGTCTGTTCTTGAAGGAGACAGTAAGTGGCTGACTGCTAGACCATAAATGTGGGAAGAGGATGCTGCTTGTGTCATAGGGTTTGACCCCTTTACTTTCCCTTATACATTTTATAAATGACACACAAACATGGAGAGTGTTTTATAAAATGTGACATACACCATTCATTTGGCTTGAGTACTAAAGTTAAAAGCAAGCAAGCCAAGGATCGATTCATCTTCCTTCACACCGTCCAAGACAGCTGACCACATTTTAGCTTCATTGGGAACAGATTAATTTTCTCTTTTAAATTTTGGCAAGGTAGTTGGCTAACCTATCAAGGAGAAGGTCTTTCAAAAGATGCTTTGCTTTAAAAATAGGCACTCTCTACACTGTTTATTCACAACTAGGGTCTCAACTACGATCTCTTTGCCTGACTATGCATTAAAAATCTTTATTACAAATATTGTGTAAAAAATAAAATTCAAAATCCCATGGAAATGGTCATAGTAAGTGAGAAAATACATGGATGCATAAAACACTTAGTTTGTGATAAGTAAAAACTACCTTGTTTCCCATTCGACAGAAGACCGAGTCAACTAAGCTCTACAGTGGGATAGACAGTTCTTTTCAAACGGATGTAAACACTTATGGCAAGGTGTTTTTCTAATATTTAAAAACATGAAAAAGAGTCACAGCAAAGGATATCATTCTATTTGTAGAAAACTAACACACAAAGGTGCATACATGCACATATACAGACACACATATATTTGTACACTTGAAGGAAGCGTCTGGAAGGACAGGTAGCAGACCATTGATAGTCGTCACCCCTAGAAAAACAAGGGGTAGGTAAGCAGAGGAACTTGAAGCCTGTAATTCTATAGGGTTTGATTTTCTTCAGGAACATACATACATTTACAATGGTAACACATAAGGACAAGCCATGGGTAAAAAGACACAACATGTATACTTCATTTTGTAAAGGACTTTTCAGAATTTACCATAAAGGTCACTAACTGCTCTACCTTCAAAGTTGGCACTGATATATAAATACTTTTTTTTTTCATTTTTTAACTCTTTTAAAGATTTTGAGACTTACTAAAATATTCACAAATACTTTCAAGCTACTACCATGGAAAGGACACACATACGTGTGTGTGTGTGTGTGTGTGTGTGTGTGTGTGTGTGTGTGTGTGTGTGTGTGTAGTCTTTAAAAAGAGAGAAATGCATACATTTCTTTTATAAACCTACACAATTACGAATGAGATGCCTGTGCGGCGCAGGGTGTACGCTCCTAACCTCTGATGAAGCCATCTTTCCTGATAGCAAATACCACTTTGTAACTCACATACTGGAAAGTTTTTCAAATCAGATAAAAATACCTGTAAAAGATAAGTTATCTAAAGAATAGAATAAAAATCCCTGAGTAGGCCAAAGACAACAGGCACAGTAACCCAAGAATATAGACAATCTTAGACCCGAATGTCTCTGTTCACCCAGGTGGTGTGTATGAACATGACATGTTTACATATGACATACAGATATATGCATAGATCATAACCAGACAGATCCATCCTACTCACACATGGCCAAACAGATGCCCAAGTCCAGGAAAGATGAATGTCTAAAAATTAAGCGCCTTTATGATAGAAACATGTATTTGGGCTAGAAGGTCTCCTTCTTTTGGTCCAGGACTAGCACACCTAAAGTGACAGTGAATACTTGCCAGATGGATGGCTGAAGGCACGCGAAGATGAAATCTATGAAACCAGGCCACTGCTCCTTCCTTACCTCACACCATAGTCTAGTGGCTATTCCAGAGCCACAATCGACGCATACTCCTCTCGCCGGAAACTCACCACTTAGCAGGAAGTTGTCCAGCTCTTCTCTATGGCTCAGAGGGGATACAAGCATGCTAGCTTATACATGGACCGTCCTTCACCAACACGAGTTGTTTCAGTCAAACACAAAGTTGTTACACTCTAGCATCGGACACCACAAGATAGCTACGTAATGCGAGCGTTATCATACAGTCTACTTCACGTCAAACTCTTACATTCACGGTAAGTAGAGTAATGTATGATAAAATTCTAACTATAAGAACTTAGAGGTAAGCCTCAGGCTTTTCAATATCTCTTCTTTGTCTTGATAAACATTATGATGAAAGCAAGGAGCTGTTTAGTTAAATTTCATTTCCTTATTCTCAAAGACTTCTCATCTTCCTGAAAATATTTTCTTCATTTGTTTCCACCTCCAAAAGCAGTTTATATTTTAGATGAAACTATATACATAAAAGAGCTGTTTTCAAGTTATCTCTCTATAAGGAAATACCAACAATTTATGCATCTGAGTAGTAAACATAGGCAAAATTCTTTAAAACTAGTATTTATTTTAGTTAAAAAAAAAAACAAAACCTGGGGACAAATAAAAAAACCAGAGAAAAGAGAGAAGGAATAGAGCATTAAATAATTTTTAAAAACTTGGACCTAAAGCAGAATTATCTGGGATAATAAGGAGGTAACTCAATAATGAGCAGAATGGGAATTAAATGAAAAGTTTTAGCAGTTTTCTTCAAAGCAGAAAAAAAAAATTTTTTTTAATTAAATTATCCCAGGAGGGCTTAACTGACAGGAAAAGTATGTATGCCCAAATCCAAGAAATCCAAAAATATCAAGGGTTGGAAACTTTCTAAAATCACCCGTTCCGTTTTGTCAGTTTACAAAATCTGGTACATCTCAGAGTGACGTCGCACAAATCACGTGTGTGTGACCATCAGAAGAGCAAGAAACAGACAGGGCTACCATGGAAACAACCTGTTGTTGACATTGGCTTTAATTCAGTACATTACCAAGTTAGGCCCCCGAAAGGAACCATCATGGCTGAATGGTTCTACGAAAATAGACATGGAAATGGACAAGCACATGGTTATGGAGCCTGGTTTAATACGTGTTTATATACACACATTCACATCCTTACACATCCGCACCAGGAACTCATGGTTCTTGTTAATTTAGTTTCATTAATTCCCTTCTGGGTACTGAGACTTTTTTTTTTTTTTTTTTAAAGCAATTACAGTATCCAAAAGAACAAAAGAATGGTACCACTTGGGCTACAGATGACAACAGGTGCATTTGGTGAACTTTATCTTCTGCAAAGTGGCTTTGTTTGTGGGTGCAGACAGGACTTCAGCTATGCTCACCAAGTCTCACAGCCAGCCAGGAGCGAAGCACAGGGTTCAGACAGTCCAAGAAATACTCCTGTGAGGTGCCCTCAAAACACATCTGAGGATACCCTGTTCTCAAAATCTCTTCTTCCAAGAACCACAAAGGTCAGAGTTACTATATAAATGTCTATAATTAACGAAAGTGACCGTTTTTTTTTTTTTTTAAAGCAGCAATTTGTTTAGGGAAGGGACAGGATACCATGTTGGGAGCGCACCGTAGCTGGAGGCACTGTGGCCTGCAGAGAACCACAGGAGACAAGATGGCAGAAGTTCCTCTAGGTGCTTCTCAGGAGCCGACTCACAGACGGTGTACCATCCTGCACCTCCCCCTGGTACCGGCTGATGTCATGTGAAATCCTCTGTGGATTACCAGTGCATACCTGTCCGTGATCGCTTTCTCTGTTTTTTACAAAGGCAATATATAGGAAATACAAATAAACCTAGAGATTAAAAAAATAAAGGCAATTAGGGAGGAAAGCACTGAGGGGTGTTGAGGAGTGTGTGTGTGTGTGTGTGTGTGTGTGTGTGTGTGTGTGTGTGTGTGTGTGTGTTTGGAATTTCCCAGTTTTACTTATATGCAAACTATTTACAACAGTCCTTAATAACAATTCCCAAACATAAAGCTACTACAGGATGTATTTCTATAAGACTTTATTCTTTCTATTTCTCTATAGTCCTCTGTCCCATGTCACTCTCAGTCACACCAGCTCTAATAAAAAACAAATAGTTTCTAGCAAACCTTATTGCCTCAATCCTTTAATTTGCACACTATGATATTCACGATTCATTGTCAGTCAGTATAACATCTTACTTAAGAACATCCGTGTGGTTCCCATTTTAACAATTTTGAGATTCTAATGAGACTTGAGTCTCTCTACTTGAGATAATGACATCTGTTTTGTAAAGTCCTGGCTGACTAAAACGACTTGCATGTGAGACACGTTATCATTCTATCTGTTCCACACATTCATTACCTAGAGAGAGAAGTTTACATGTGGAAAATCATTTAGTTCACCAAAAGCATCCCATTTTCTATAGGGAATAATGATCAAAATAGTTTTCGTCCAGAACATTTAAAAATCTCTAAAGCAATGCTTCTCAAAGTGTGGCCCCTGGGCTGACAACATCAACAGCATCCAGGAACTTCTTAGAAACATAAATCCATGGACCCAGCCACCACACTGTGGGAGAAACAGAGGTCGGGTTTGGAGTGTGTGTTTCCATCAGCTCTCCAGGCTACTCTACATCATGCTAAGTCTGGGAACTACTCCTTTAACATGTAAGTCCATATATTAAAGAGTCTCATAAACACATGAGGTTGGAAACACGTTCCTCTGACCTCACATACCCCATGCTGCATGGCTGTTTAAAGCAGGGCACAGAGAAGAAACTACACTCACTCAATCACTCGCTCACTCGCTCACTCACTCACTCACTCACTCACTCACAGCATTACATACACACTCATATCATCTCTACTGCCACACTTGCTCGCTCGCTCGCTCGCTCACTCACTCACTCACTCACTCACTCACTCACTCACTCACTCACTCACAGCATTACATACACACTCATATCGTCTGTACTGCCACGGGAGAATTGTAATCTCAAACGTGTCGCCTGTTTCTTACCGATTACAACTGCTATGGCCCCTAGTGCCAATCCCAAAACCAGGATGAGAGGCGCAATGAAGAGCTTTCCAGCTGGAAAACAAAATCAAAACAATTTAAAGAGTCTCAAATCTGATTTACCAAGCAATTACAGTCATTCTTTAAAGAAGTGCCATTACAATTAAAGGCATATGGAGAGCTGATACACACATGTAATCCATCACTGAAATTTAAGTACACAGTGCCACAAAGCCCTGGGCATATGCCAAACATCTCCAACTCATTTATTCTTTACAACCATAAAGATGATACTTTTTTTTTTTTTTTGAGACAGGGTTTCTCTGTGTAGCTTTGGAGCCTGTCCTGGAGCCTCTGTTAGACTAGGCTGGCTTCGAACTTACAGAGATCCACCTGGCTCTGCCTCCCAAGTGCTGGGATTAAAGGTGTGCGCCACCACCGCCTGGCTGATGATACTCCTTTTTACTGGCACACTTTATTCTTGGTACTTTCCCCTTAGATTTCTTCTACCTTCAATGTTCCAAACATTGAAAGCTTAAGAAAGGGGTAGCAGGGTCGAGAATGCAGCGGACAATCTATTCAGCTCACAGCGCTGGAGAGCTGGTAGAGACCACAGAGGGTGTCTGACCAGGCCCATGTCTAAGAAAAAAATGCTTTATTTACTTGTTGGGTACAAGGGGAAATCATAGGAACATCTAATCGAGTGAGCTCCAAATGGGAGGCCTTGAGACAACTGCTGAAGGAAATGGCCACGGTGTAAAATGGTGTGTTAGAAGTGATTCAAGTGAACCACTGTAACAAACTTTAAAAGGAAGCACTCGTCCACGTGAAGGCTCAGTGCCGGGAGGGATGCCACCCTTGGCAGCACCAGCCGATGTCTCTTCTCAAAAAAGAACTGCTCTGTGATAACCATCACTGCTGTCACACGTAACTGCAGCCCGGAAGCCAAGAGTGGAGTCCCTTTGACTTTGAAAGGCACTGACGTAGACAAGGACAGTTACTTATGCCATGTCAGTGCGCTGCGACCTCTGAACACGCGACTTAACGCTACAAACTGAATGCCACAAAGAGTGTCAGAGGAACAGGAAGTCTGCAGGAGAATCGCATAGCTACTTAAGAACCACACACCAACAAGTAAGTTATGCATCGTGACTGAGGATGATAATTGCATGAGAAAAGGTAAACAGCCATTTGGTGGGAGTCTGGCAGAAAAAAAAATTAACTTTTTAATAAAATAGTTTTTGGAATTAGATGACTAGATATGAAAAACACAGTTTTAAATATCAAGTTTAAGAATGTAATTTACGGCTGGTCGGTGGTGGTGCACACTTTTAATCCCAGTACTTGGGAGGCAGAGCCAGGCAGATTTCTGTGAGTTCAAGACCAGCCTGATCTACAGAGTGAGATCCAGGAAAGGCACCAAAGCTACACAGAGAAACCCTGTCTCGAAAAAACAAAAAAACAAAGAATGTAATTTACTATATAGTAAATTTATATCTTTTGTCAGTGAAACATAATGACCAACCTTGGTTCTTTCTTTTACTTTATACTAATGAAAAAACTCAGTTAAGCAGTACTAAATCTCATTAAGCAACTGCTTGTCCACCTGGAGAGCTGTGCTGAAGAGTCTAGAATATAGCATCCAGTTTATATTAAGAGTCTCTTCTTCCCCAAACCCCTACACACAGCTCAGTCTCTTTAGTCGTATCTCCTCTTAAAGTAACCACCAAGACATTTTCATCTTAGCAACAGAAACGACTGTCAAGTAACAGCACTGACCTTTCCCTCCCAAATATTACTGAATTCAAGGAGCACATGCTGTGCCTGCCCTTTAAGAGGAATAAACTTGACAGTGTAGGACACAGTTAAATCTACTTCTCAGATTGCCTTGACTGGAGTAAGCATGCTTTCTCTTATTCCAGAGTCAATAACAATTGTCTTAAAACATTATTTTCAATAGTCAAATACAATTTTTCACACCCACAATTATATTTTGTTTAAATATTTTTATATTTAAAATGTTATTTAATTTTATGTTATTACAATAAACCGTTAATTGTCAATGTAGATTTCCTGTTTTATTTATTCTTTTGAGATAGGGTCTTTAGGTAGCATATGTTGTACAACTTTCAACCCCCATGCCTTAACCTCCTGAGTGCAGGCTTCATTGCTGTGGGATATTATTCTGTATGCTGTGAATATGTGCTGCTCTGATTGGTTGGTAAATAAAATGCTGATTGGCCAGTAGCCAGGCAAGAAGTATAGGTGAGATAAGCAGACAAGGAGAATTCTGGGAAGAGGAGGAGCAGAGTCAGGAGTCACCAGCCAGACACAGAGGAAGCAAGATGACAAGGCAGAACTGAGAAAAGGTACCAAGCCACATGGCTAAACATAGCTAAGAATTATGGGTTAATTTAAGTGCAAAAGCTAGTCGGTAATAAGCCTGAGCTAGTGGCCAAGCAGCTGTAATTAATATAAGCTTCTGAGTGATTATTTTATAAGCAGCTGAGGGACCGCACAGCTGGGTGGGACACAGAAAAACTTCCAACTACACTTCACTGTGCTTAGTTTTAGTCACTGTTTTAAAATGTCCACATTAATATCATATTAATTTTCTTCCCTTCCTCCTTCACTTTTTACTCTCTCTCTCTGGTTTTTCTAGACAGGGTTTCGCTGTATAGCTCTGGCTGTCCTAGGCCTCACTCTGTAGACCAGGCTGGCCTCAAACTCACAGAGATCCCCTGCCTCTCCCTTTTGAGTGCTGGGACTAAAGGCATGCGCTACCACTGCCCAGTGGGTCTTCCCTCTCTTTTAAAACAAGGTCAGGTGATACAGCTCAGGTTGATCTTGAACTTATGATCCTCCTGATTCAGCTTCCAGAGAATGCTAAGACTTCTCCGTGTGCATTATCATGCCATGATAGTCTTACATTTCTTTTGAAAATAATTGTTTAAAATTTTCAATGCATTCTGTAGACTATAAAAGTTCAACACTGAATATTAATGATAACTGTATACTAATAAATAATTCAAAGTAACTCATTTATAATTTAAATTTTTCTGACAGTAAATATTTTTAATGTGAACTCTTTAATTCTGCTTTCAGCATCTTTCTGTCTGGTTACAAAAAAATTGAGACGGTCTTGCTACATAGCTCAAGCTGGTCTCTCATTCACCCTGTAGTACACGCTGGCCTTGAACTTGTGGTCATCCTGCCTCCACCTCCACTGGGCTGGGATTATAGGTGTGCATCACCATGTCTGCTACTGTTTCTTTCTTTTCTTTCTTTCTTTTTTTTTGTTTGTTTTTTTGTTTTTCGAGACAGGGTTTCTCTGTGTAGCTTTGCCCCTTTCCTGGAACTCTCTTTGGAGACCAGGCTGGCCTCGAACTCATAGAGATCCACCTGCCCCTGCCTCCCGAGTGCTGGGATTAAAGGCATGCGTCACTACCACCCGGCTCTGTTTCTTTCTTTTTAAAGAAACAGGATCTTTGGAACCGGAGTTACACACAGTTCTAGCTCAAGCCAGGTCTGTGGGTGCTGTGAACTGAACCCAGAACCCCTGAAAGAGCTTTTAACTGCTGAGCCATCTATATAGGCCCCTGTTTCTTTGCCTTAAATGGAGTATTTTTCAAAAGAATTTTTGCAGGACACTCCATTGTTCTTACTCATACTAATTGTTTGCTATGAAGAGATATGTTAAAGAATTGTTTTTTAAAATTATAAAATTTAAAACTTCAAATTTTGGAGTCCCACGGCGTGGCTCAGGCGGTAAAGGTGCTTACTGCCACGCGTAACCGGAATTTGATCCCGGCAACCTTCTTGGTAGAAAGAGATAATTGATTTCCACAAGTTGGGTTCTGATGTCCACATGCAGGTCTTGGCATAGACACATGAATGGCAGTGAACACATATTCAAAGTAAATAAATACAGGTCATTAAAATTTTTGAGAAACACTTCAAAGTACCACTCCTTGAATAATCTGCTTGTTTCCCAGATGCTGCTCACCACCCTGAGTAGCCTGGGGGCTCTGGCTGCATGCAGTCATGGAGAATGAAGACCAAGATTTCCACTCTCAGCTGTGATGGGCATGTAGGTACTTGCTCTGTTTCTGGCTAAGGGCACTTAAAGGCACTAACACAGACAGGATGATGGACATGAGGGCTGAGCTATAATCCACATCCTCTCTCATATGGCAGGAGTAAGTAATTTTGTGGGCTACAGAGTAATCCATTTTCCTGTTTTAGTTGGATAAGAGGGGTGGGGACCCCTCCAGTGGGGTGTGGTGTCTAGGCTGTGTCAAGTTGACAACTGAACTAACCATCATAACCAGTTAGAGGTAGTTGTGCTTGGTGGCTGGAAAAATGTGTGGAAGGGAAACTGATTTTAAGCCAGCTGCTCCTTATGATGTCAGTTTATCTTGGCTTAATTGATTGTACATGTGTGTGCTGCATCTGAATACGCACATGCATCTGAATACAAGATAGGACACACACACACACACACACACACACACACACACACACACACACACCAACAACAGAATTCAAAGGTCGTGCTGAGATAGGAAAAGAAAAGAGCCACAGAAGAGATTAGCTTTGTGTCTGACGTCGTTCTCTACACATACAGATTTACAGACGCAACACAACACACAACTTCACAGTTTTCTCTCATGACATGATTCTTACAAATTACTGGCTACATTTCTTAGCTATCTTCAAAGTCCATAGAAGCAGCAAGTAAATACTGGTTTTATAACTGTAATTTTCACCTAACACAAATAAAGGAGTTGAAAATTACTAAAACCAATTGGCTATTGGACAGTGTTGACTTTGGAAAAGTGTGTTTAATTAGAATTTAGATGAGTTTTTGTTTGTTTGTTTTTGTTTTTATGGTGATCATGTACGGTTTTAGAAAGTCGTGCTGCTGATGTCCGTCCACATATTAAAATATTCTTTAAAATGAAGAGCCTGTAGCTCAGAACTACTGAAACGACCCCTTTTCTCAAATCAGCCGTCATGACCCCAGAGAGAGAAGTGAGTCACAGCAGTGAAATGGCTGAGGAGAGTCACATGAAATAGGCAGAGTGGGCGGGAAAGATGGAAAATGTTTAGACGTTTAAATGGGGTGGGATCCACAGGAGAAAACCTGTCAGAGATAGAAACGCGGAAGCACCATGCAGTAGGAAGAGGAAGAAGAAATCTCACAGGGGACACATTACTCAGGGGTAGGGAGCCAATAAGAAGTCAAATGAGGCCAGAAGAATGGTATAAGCCAAGGAACGAAGGCAGGGCATGGGGATGGAGTGATGTGATATGAGCAGAGATTTATGTTTCTGTTTGTGCTGTGTAGGTGTGTGAGCATAGGGCTCTGTGTTTGGTGAAGGGGAGGTTAAAGACTATTCACAAAGCACTTACAGCTGGGTAACTAGACGGGATTATATGTAATTAGGAGTTTTCACACTCATTCCATTATCTGATTAGTTGTTGATTATTAACAAAATGACCAATATACATAACAGTATCAGTTCTATAGGTATTCTACAACTCTGTTATAGGGCTCTGGGATGTATGTTTTTTTCAACCATTTTTCCCTATTTCATGCTGTACTGTGTGTACTTTATGAATCAATAGAGCATACATGTGTTTAAAATTCCTGTTAATGTCCATACAAAAATAAATATGACATTCTCCTTATTACCAATTGGCTTATACTCGGTGTTTCAAAAATGTTGGTCACAAAAGAATGTCATATTAACAAACTTAACTTTCCAATTCTGATCACCAAAGAAGTGACTCTCTTCCTAGTTTTTGGTAAAGGCCCTACTAGAATCCTTGGCACATAGCAAGCACCCAGAATTCTCAAGGCTGAGACACTTCTACCCACACTCCTCAGGTCCTACGGAACCCCAAGAGCAAGCATGTGTGATACTACTCACCACAGACTGACCCTCGAACCAATCTTCTTAAATGAGGTCTCTCTGGGAGGTAGCGATATTTGCATCCAAATATACTGAGGTTTGATGTGTGGTCTCCAAAAAACCGGAGCTGGCGGTATCTCTCTCCACATCGATAACAAAAATTAGTGTTACACTGTGAGCAAGTCATATGGTCACATCCTTCCGTCCTCTGGATATGGATCTGGATAAAGGGATAAATAGAAGGAAATGCAATTAATGTCTTAAAAAAAAAAAGCAAAATGTCAAATACTACAGAACTACCTTTACCAAATTAAAAGTCTTATGTGGCATTCTTGAAGTGAAGTTTTCAATTTGTTTTTAATCATATTTTTATTTAAAATGTTCCCGGTACTAATTTTTACCATTTTAAGCTTGGAATGTTGCTTTGGGACTTGTGTGCTGGTGAATATTTTAATGTACTTAGGAACTTTATAATTAACACAGGAGTCAAACCTGCCAGAGATTGCTGTTTGATCTTATTAAGTAAGTCATGGCCACAGCCTACAACTTTACTTGCCACTCTATTTTCCTTAGGTACACAGAGTTAGCATGTGATCAAGGGTATATAAGAACTTATGCTCCAGGGTCGCTATTGAATTATGATTTGAGCAATAAACCAAAGCTGTTGATTATTGCTCCTGGTCACCTTACCCTTTAACAGTTATATGGTTTTCTCTTTGTATAGGATGGTCCGCTGGCAGTGGACACAGGCTCTGTGCAGCCTATCAATTATCTGAGGGTCTCTCTTTAAGAACAGATGTAAACTTTAAATAGAACTGGAATAAAAGGCCTAAGAGAGGGCTGTGCTGGCTGCTCAGCCCCTGGTCCAGTGAACTCTCCTCTTGTGCCTATTTGTCAATACTTAGGGGATCACAGTCAGGCATCCTGCAGATGGGGCTAAGAAATAACTCTGACCAGGGCTAAGCATACAGAACATAGTCCCGGATTCAATGCATAGGGCCTCATAAACTGAGTATGGTGGACCATGACGGTAAAAGCCAACATTTAGAGGAAAGGGAAGGCAGGAGAATCAGAAGTTCAAGGCCATTCTTCATCACATGGAGAGAATTCAAGGATAACCTGGACTATATGAGACCTTGTCTCAAAAACAAAGCAAAGTAAATAATAATAATAATAATAATAATAATAATAATAATAATAATAAATAACATGGGGCCAAAGTACTCTTGAACCACTTCTGATCTTTCAAGCTGCCAAGGCACTAGGAGAAAGCAGGTTTGACATGAACTGCTAAACACCCAACATCTACGGCCAACTTTTGGACTCTATGCTGCATTGAAATGGTTATAACAGTTGATTTTTTCTTTCCAGAGAACACAGCAATGCCATGGGTGACCTATAAAAGGAAAGAACTAAATTTCTTTAGAATCTGCTGTGCTCTATGTACTGGACAAAGACTGCTACTTCTAAGTCTTCTGAGTGTCCTGTGAGACCACCATTCTCATTCATAACCTGAGCTCTGAAAACTATTTTGACTACAGAAAGTTGGGGAAGTGGGGCCTAGCTGGGAGAGGTAGGTCATCAGGGGAGGGCCTTTGAAGGTTCCAGTCCAGGCCTTGGTTCTGGTCCCACTCTCTACTTCCTGGTATACCATAGTGTGATAGCCTTGGCCTCATGTTCCTGCTACCATGGGTGGAGCCACTCTGCCATGCCTGCTAACTAGGAAAGACTGAACTCCCCCACAAGCAGGAACCAAAACAAATTCTCCAAGTTTCTGTCGGCTATTTTCATCCCAGTGATGCAAAAGTAATGAATGCAATTACATAAAACACATTTTATTATTTTATAACTCTAGAAATAAACCGACACATTGCAGATTCATGTCAGCAGGAGGCATTCATAACTAACATTTGCTAAGCAACTTGGAATTCTGAACGCCCAACATCCAAGGTACACTAAATCCAACATGCTAAGTAAAGTCCCGGAGAAAATATATTTACATGTTACAGTTTAATAACAATGCTATTTTTATTTTAAAAACCATAAAGCTTTAAAACACAGGCTACTATTATATTTATGTAAGATGTCTTCGTTTTTGGCTATAGTTTCAAGCATTCTTCATTTAGCTCTCCCACAAACAAACTAAGCACTCAAGTGGTTACAGTTTAGCATCCAAACCCAGTGGATTAAACTGGTAACTCGTAAGGCCATGATTTGTTACTGCTCAGTTTCTTCTCTCCATCTATAACAGATGAGGGGAGAGGTTTCAGAAATTCAGTATTTATATACCAGTGTCACCTCTCTGACACTTAAAGTCATGAGACAAAAGCTTGACACTAGTCACCCTATGAGTTTAATATTAAGGATCCATTGTAGTAGTTGAAATAAGAAAACAAGCCCTTTCTGTGCCCATGATACAAAGAACTAGCTATAGTAGAATCAAGTTTTTAATTTTGGTATAGGTGTCATTCAAAAGACAGAACAAAAATAAAAGAACTATTAAACATTCAACCATTTAAAAATTATATCAGCACATGTCTGTGCACAAATATTTATCTTTCATTAAGAAATAAAGGCTTACTTATTAATCAGGAAAAAACTTAAAGTACTATTTTCTGTGATTGTTAACAATGGTTATCTTGCTCTAGAAGGAATACTAAATTCTTATTTAAAAAGAATCTTAGGGCTAGAGAGATGGCTCAGTGGTTAAGAGTCATAGCTACTCTTCCTGAGGACCCAAGTTCGATTCCCAGCACCTACATGGCAGCTCACAAGCATCAGTAAATCCAGTCTCAGGGGATTTGTTGTCCTAATCTGACTTCCACAGGTACCAAGCATGAACATGGTCCACAAACACCCATACACATAAAATAAGTAAATAAATGAGAAAAGGGTAATTTGCATATTTATTTCCCTCAAATGGTGCTTGGGATCTGGAAAAATTATTTAGAAGGGAAAGCAACAATTATAAAAAAAAATTAAAGAAAACCTCATGAATCACAGTTCTCAACTCACTGTTCCTAAACGTTTAGTCCAAGTGACAGGGATTCACCCTCCTCAATTCAAACCTGCAGATAAAAGTCTTCAAATACAAATAGAAACACTATAAGCCTTGGTTTCTTATCAAATTATAAAGGAAGTAATATGTGAGGGAAAAGAGAAGACCTGTTCCCAAATGCTGGCTTCTCTGTCCCTTTCCTGAGCCTATAACTTGAGAAAACACTGAGTTCTAGGGATATAAAATTCAAAAACGACAATGGTGTACATCTTAAAAAGTGGACTGAGAAGTCCCAAGGGGA